CTCTCTCAGCTGAGATCCCTGCCTCATGTTTTACAGAAGAAAATGAGGCTATTCACCGTGAGCTCCCCGTTCTCCCCTCTTCCTCGTCTCCCATCATTCAGACATCGTCTGCCCCCTCTCTTCCTTCTCCCCTGTCTCACGTGATGAGAGGTCTTTACTCCTGACCAAGGCCAACCTCTACCCGCTCAAGTGATCCTACTCCATTCTGTCTCTTCCAGCAGACTGTCCCTGTCATTTCCACTCTGTCACTTAACTTCAATTTCTCCCTCTCCACTGGCTCCTTCCCTAATGCCTATAAAAATGCCCAAATCTCCATTTCCTACACTATGCTGACTGTGAAAGCAACTTTTTTCCTAAATGAAAGGAGCCTAATTTCATTCATTCCTCAGTTTAGAGAGGGAGGAATGGTGTAGGAGAAACCCCAGTTTCCAGGTGCAATGAGATCAGTGCCATGGGACAAAGCACTTACTTCTGCAATGCAGTGTGCTCATTTGCAAAGTGAGGTACTTGGACTGGGTCTCTTCCTTTTCTAAAATCCAAGATTTTAATCAATAAAGATTCATATTCCTATGACTCAGTTTCATATTAATGCATACTTTTAAACAATTAAAGACCTCAAAGTTTGTACAGTCTCAGAGAGTCTAAAAATAATGATGCATTAGGTTAAAAAATAAAGACAGGCTCACGCCAGTGTCAAGGAGTGTTCCTCCTAATTAAAAATTTAGGTAGCTGTGTACCAACGCTAGAAACTTCAAAGAAAACCACTGCTTCAAAGTCCTACTGAATAATGCATGGCACTTTGGGCACATCTGGAAACACAGTAGGCAAGGAGGGTGGCCAGAGGATCTGAGTTTTCATTTCCAGCACTGCTCTTCCGTTGGCTGTCCTTTGTTCGCATCAGCAAGGTGACACTATGATAACCTGTGGGATGGCAGCAAAGCCATTCAACCCCTAAGGGCAACGGACTCAATGACCACCAAGGTCCTGGTAGAGATAAGGCTGTTACCCTGACACCGAGGAAAGGGAGGGGGTGGGGGAGATTCATTCCACAGTAGGCCAGAGGGAGTTTCTCTAATTTTTGCCCCAAGAGGGAGGACAGGGGCCACTGCAAGTCAGTCAGCCTCCACAGAGCTTCCTCCAGGGAAGTGGGGGCATCCTCCCACTGTCAGACTGAACACAGAGGAGTGCAATTGCAGCTTATTCTTTCACATCAGGTCTCCATCCACCTTGATCAGGGTTACTTTTTTTCTGATCTATTTCAGATTAGCATCATATTCTAGAATTTTTAAGATTTTAAAATTGGTTTTTACTGGCAAATCTTGCTTGACTCTGGAAAACTGTCAATTATTATACTGATTTGCCTAATTTATTCCAATACTTAGCTTCCATTTTTCAAATTTATTCTATAGCCAGCAAAAGGCAATGTCTTCCAAAAAGTGAAACATCCCAAATGTTCAGGTACCCTCCCTGTACAATAGCAATATATGGCAGAAAGGGAGCTATCAAAAATAAGTGTGAGGACAGAGACTTGGATCAAGAAAAGGTGGAGAAAAAAGAAACAACTAAGAAAGAGAAGAGTCTCATAAAAGTTAGACAGACTAAGAATTTATATCATCATATCATTTTGTGAGAGTACAATTATCCCAGCATAGAGGGCAAAAGAGTTGAAAAGATTTTTTTCTATATTCTTTATTTGAATATAACAAATACATTTTAAGTCATGTCATTAAAGTGTATTATGGGGCAACTAGGTGGAACCAGGCCTGGAGTCAGGAAGACTCATCTTCCTGAGTTCAAATGTGGCCTCAGACACTTACTAGCTGTGTGACCCTGGGCAAGTCACTTAGCCCTGTTTGTCTCAGTTTCCTCATCTGTAAAATGATCTAGAGAAGATCTCTTTGCCAAGAAAACTCTAAATGGTGTCACAGAGTCAGACTCAACAACAATGAAATACTCCGAAACAACCCTACATAAAAAAAGGACAGACCAACTATCTTTACTCTGCACTGTGTTCAATCATGTGTCTCCTCAATAACACGACCACTGAACATTCTTTTCAAGATACAACCAAAACCACCCTGTTTATTATCACCTGTTAATGATAAACATCACACGCAGAACAGGGCAGCATCTACTTGCTGTGTATTTGCCACTAAAATATATGAGAGGAGGCAGCTGGCAGCTCAGCAGATAGAGCCCTGAGCCTAGAGTCAGGACGACGTGAGTTCAAATCCAGCCTCAGATACTTCTTAGCTGAGGAACCCTGAGCAAGTCACTTGACCTCTGTTTGCGAAACCGCTCCAGTATTTTTGCCAAGAAAATCCCACAAACAGTGTGGTCCACAGGGTCACCAAGAGAGGGAACAACACCTAACAACAAGAGGTGGAGGAGAGCCAATGCAGAGGCCAGGCAAGAGAAGGACTGCCCTAGGAGAGGCAGGTCTTCCAAATGCTCCTGTCTGCCAATTACAGTCAGCCCCAAAATTGCACAACTTCCCAGAAGACAACTGAGATTACCTGAAGGAGTCTGGCCTGTTCATCCACACGGAAAGGACTAACTGTAACACACGGCCATAGCCCAATTTTCAACCTGCATCTGAATGGATGTCCTACAAAGCTGGCCCAAGAGTCTGTGGGTCTGAGATGGCTAGGACAGGGGATGAGAAGCTGGGCCTGGCATGAAAAAGCGGGGGTGGGGGGGGGATGGGTCATGGACAGACACACACTGCTTTTAGGAAACGGCAAAAATACGGCTACTATGGAAATACGTTTTGCATGACTTCACATGCATAATGGATATCTTATTGTTTGCATTCTTTGTGGTGGGGGAGGGAAGGAGAGATAGAATTTGGAACTCAAAACTTTTAAAAATGAATGTTAACAAAGACTTACATATAATTGGAAAATAATTTAGCAAGATAAAAAGATTTTTTAAGAAGAAAAAACAAAGGTTAAGGACTTAAGTAAAACGTAGATGCCTAATAAATGTTTGTGTTGCTGAGCTAGAGAAAAAAAAGGAAGCAAGCAAGAAAGAAAGAAAGAAAGAAAGGAAGAAAGAAAGAAAGAAGTAAAGAAAGAAAGCGTAAAGCCCTTTCACTGGCCCTATCTTTTCAACACGTTTGGCTAGGGCTGCTTACAGTAGTAAGACACGGTATGCTGCTGCCACAGAAGAATGCGTGATTGGCCTCCACACAAGGCACCTGGTGGGCATGCACAGGCTGCAACATATGACCCAAGAGGACCGTCAAAGAAGGAAAGGAGGTCGGGATGCCAGCAAAGAAAGGGAAGCTGGGCTGGCCATGTGATTAGAGCAAAGGATGCTGGGAGGGAGTGGAGGGAGGAAGTGATGAGAATGCAGCTCAATGAGCCAGGCACTGGGCGAAGCCCCTTTACAAATATGATCTCCTGGGATCTTCCCAACAGCCCTAGGCAGTGGGAGGTGTCAACACCCCATTTTACAGTTTAAGAAATGGAGGCCAACAGAGAGGAAGTGATCTGCCCAGGGTCACACAGCTCCTACGTGTCTAAAGCCGAATTTGAACTCAGGTCTTCCTGACTTCAAGCACTGGGAATGGCCTGAGTGCTCTACTGGTACCTCTGCAATGTCGCAATATAGTACGGAAGGCTGCTAACCCACTGGCTGACCTCTAATTGTGAACCTTCAGGAGGACAGGGACACCAAGAGCCAAGGACGGACTGATACAGACAGTTCATGATCAAAATCAGTGGAGGCATCGGTCCCCAACCAGGAAGATCACAGATCCCTGCAGATTTTCATCACAACCCATAATCCAACCTCACTGGTACATTTATTAAAGGCCTGTTGCATGCCAGAGACGGATACAACAGGTCCCAGGCTGAGCCCTATTCGGTCACTGTTTGGGCCCTGACTGGCTCAGAAGGAATGTAAATACCAATGGTTTATGTTTTGGCCAGAAACTCTAAGATTCCCAGATTGATTTTGAAAAAGATTTTTGATGAGGCAAAGAGGCCAGTCACTGCCTCATTTCTTCTTAAGGCTTAATCACTGAATGGACGTTGCCTTAGTCAAACTGAGACCTGGAAAAGACTTGAAAAGGCCAAGGTCCTCTGCTGCATCCTGGGCCATTTCCAGTTGTCCTGATCTATATCTGGCCCCTGGACCCAGATGGCTCCGGAGGAGAAAGTGAGGCTGGTGACTTTGCACAGTCCTCCCTCACTTAAATTGAACTCACTTGCATGTCACGGCAGCACCTCCCTGATGTCACGGTCCCCTCTGAGAAGGAAAGACAGACAGCAACAACAACAAACACAGAGGCCAAAACTGTTCCTCCTCCTCTTCCTCTCTTTCTCCCCTCCCTTGGCCCACAGCAACAGCTTCTGTGTCAGCCTGCCGACCTGTACAAGGTGGGTAACAGACAAGGTCCCTCAGACCAGAGAGATATCCCTCTGTTCACAGTTCAAACCCAGGAAACTGCAATGATTCACCTGAACCCAGGAATATACACAACAGAAAAAATGAAAATCATGATACGCCAAGTATCAAACTGCTGCCATGGAGACCTGGCCTGGCCTTCTCATCAGGCTCCCAAAACGGGGCTCGAGACTTATTCAGCAGATGCCTGAGTCATCCAATGACATATGTATTACAATTATCCATATGGTGACCCTGCTGGTAATTGGTCCGAGATAATCTTTTGAGGTTAATCAGATTTAGTTCAAACATCCTACCATAGATTCCTAATCAAATTTTCCCACTTACTGACAACGCAGAAAATCAACTGTTAAGAATAACTTATTTGAATTACGCTTGCTTCAGCTACTACCACAATCTAAGAGCAATTAAACTTAACAAATTTTATTTTGCATCAGAAATATGCCATATTATAACAAGTAGCTACAATTTTATGATTACAAAATAATTCCATGGTGTCCTTGATAAGATCTGTCTCAAGGCAAAAGGCCTGGCCCCAAGGACAGGTGGGTGAAACAAATAGGAATATAAGAGAAATGTAAACTTACATATGGTGAAGTCTCCAAGTTATCTGTGTTGACCAGCACTGGAGGAGGATTTGCCTTTGAAGAAAAATTTTAAAATGCATTAGTGCCCTGCACCAAAAAATGCAAAGTTCAGCTATGACAGTCAGGACATTTCACAAACAGCTCTCAGCACTATTAGGAACACACTGAATATTTGCTGTTTCTTCAAAGCATACTATCACATGAACTTTTCTCATGCTACAATGACCTTATTTTCTTGTCTACAAGAAAAAAAACACACAAACAGGATATAACAAGGTGGTTCCTGTTTGGAACACTACTTTTAAGAAGTAAACTCTTCTGGAGAAGGCAAGCCAACAGTGGATCAACAAGTGTTCATCCCAACTACAAGCTATAGGCCATAGACTAAGCACCAGGAAGGTAAAAAAGAGCCAGTCCATCTTCAAGGGGCACACGTTTGCTCAGGGCAGAAAGCCTCAATAAATACACAAATGCAGGGGAGTTCTCCAAGGAAGGGCACAGGCTGCACAACGTGGAGGGGGAGCAGAGTCCTGCACAGAGTGAGGGGCTTTAGAGAGTCAAGGGAGGGGGAAGGGGAGGGCAAGTTCCAGACACCAGAGATGGAGGGCTGTGTACATGCACAGAAGGGAGCCCCTCTTGGCTGGGCCAGACCACCGTAAGTGGGAGAAATGCATCATGGGGCAGGGAAGCTATGCTGGGGGGTCACATTGTGGAGGGCTCTCAATGCCAGAGAGCAGGCTCCTCACGCTCGAGTGAGAGACTGATGAGGACAAAGCTGTGCTGGGGGGACAATGATGTACAAACACAGGCGTGGGCAGCTGTGGGGGAAACAGATCCTGATGGCTTCAACAGGCAGCAACTACAGGCAGTGAGACCAGCTCAGAGACACTCGAGGTCCCTTCGAGAGGAAAGTGAATGGCAGGAGTAGGAAAAGGACAGGGGAGAGAGAGACAACAGCAAGTGATGGGATGTGGGGGTTATGGGGGAGGAGGAGTCAGGGGCAACACCAACATTTGGGAACCTGTCTACTGGAAGGACAACTCTGCCTTCAACAGAAAAAGGGGCATTCAGAAGGGTGTGTGTGTGTGTGTGTGTGTGTGTGTGTGTGTGTGCGTGCAGGACAAGTGTGAAATGTCACCAGGACAGGCAGTTTGTCATTTCCACCTCACAGGGTTACAGCCCAGATGACCTGGACCACACATCTGCCCAGTGATATTTCAATCCATTATTTCTTCTAAAACAAAGACACTGTAGTTGGGCCCGGCATACAGAGAGCATTTAAGAAGTTTTTTAAAAGCTCCTCGATGCTTTTCCCCATAACACACAGAGAGAAGGCGCTCTAGCTCCCTCCCCAGGGCCTTTTCCATTGTGCTGAATCTATTCTTCTGCCTTAGTGGTAAGAAAATGGCCCCAGTTCCCTTTGATACCAATGGAAGGCAGTCAAAATGATAGTTTCCATGTGATATTTTTCTTCTTTTTTTTCCTTAGGCAATTGGGGTCAAGTGACTTGCCCAGGGTCACACAAGCTAGTAAGTGTCAAGTGTTTGGTCTGAGGCCAGATTTGAACTCAGGTCCTCCTGACTCCAGGGCTGGTGCTCTATCCACTGCACCACCTAGCTGCCCCTGATATTTTTCTTACAACTAAAGTTTCACTATCATATTAAAACCTCCAAATCCTTTCAAGAGAAATGTGCATTACTCTTTACCTACTATTGCTATTCATTAAATACTATTCAATTACCCTTAAGATTGAAATAATTAGTTTTTTTTTTTCCTAAAGAAGTTAAAGTTATTACCGGTGAATAAACTATAGGACAAAATACTTTTCTCAAATTCAGTTGTATTTTTAAGAAATGACAAGATTACTATAGTGGTCCCTTTCTTCATGAACTTTTACTATGTGTGAAACACCATGATGCTCATTATTTTAACACTGTAGGTAATTAAAAATTATATTCTTATACCTTTAAATATCAATCTGACTGGAAATCATTTTATAAGTTTAAAGTAAGATGGTTGAGCTAATATTCATTTAGTTATGTTTGGTGGTCAGTAGGTTTCTTACTAAAAATAAAAGATGTGCTTTCCCACACTTACTCAATAAAAAGAATTTCAGAAAAAATTAAATAGAAGAATGTATGTAAAAACATCAGACTTAAGAGTTTCAAGTCCATATACAATACTCAGAAAAAGTCAAACTCCCACATTCTGTATTTCCTCCTTCCCTTCTCAGAAGAGGCTGCCCAGCAGGCCTGTGCCTGCATTCCCATCCTCCACTGCAGAACCCCTAGAAACAGACACACACCTTGACTTCTTCAAGTTATTTTCAATGGTACCCTGTGCTCAGGAGATCGAAATGTGATGTAAGCAGGAGGTTTGTGGCAAGTTACCAAGAGAGACCGCTGTTTCACAAGCTCCCCTTACCAGGGCTGGACTCTCTGTTCACTTATGTGGGGCTTTCAGGGGCCCATCAGCTCCATGAGTAAACAGGACAGTGGGCGGTCAGCCAGAAAAGGTGACCAATGAGGGCAAGGGATTCGTTCAAAGCTTTCAGAAACGTGGTGATGGTCTACATATACTCTAACATGGTCAGACCACCCCGTAGCATTCTGTCCTAAGCAATAAAATGTAAGAACAACACGCTCAGGTTGGCCAAAGCCAAGAGGGCATGCAGGATGGTAACAATCGAGTCCATGCCATTGGGCTCATGGAGCTAGAGATACTTTATTGGGAGAAGACTGAGGAAGGACAAATGGGAGCTGGGTTCAAGTCTTTGAAGGGCTGACATGGGGAAGGTTCCCACTCATTCCAAAGGGCAGATGGAAGGACAATGGGCAGAAGCCGTAGAAGTGCAAATTTAGGGTTAATGTAAAGGAAAACCTAATAATCCAATAGCCCAGAGTGAAATGAGTCACTTGTGGAGGAGGCCAAGTGTGAATCGCTTCTAGATAAGGATTGTATTAGATGGCTGCTAAGGTCCCTTCCACCTCTAAAATGGGAGATTCTGTGTCTCCAAGGGAACAACTGGACCGTAGGAGAAGGTAATTTCATTTGGTTCCCTTTACTGCACATACTACTCTTCTGAATGTCTGGGGCCAGGAGACAGTGGGACAAAGCCAAGCAATGCCCTGCTGACACCGGCCTAGCGAGGAGTCAGCTCCACGACATACTCCTTTCTCAACCACACCCTGCAGTGGCCTCAGCCTCCATCAAGGATAGCAGAATGTACCATCTCTCTTCCCCCCTGGTTGCTTCTCTGCAGCCTGGAAACATGCTCCTGTCTCCCCATCCTCAAGTCTCAGAATCCATCCATCCCCACTAGCTATGGGCCCATCTCTCCTCTGGCGAACCTCCTTGAGAAGACCGTCTCTGATCACTGTCTGCACTCCCTTCCTCCAGCTCTCCTCTGAAATCTCAGCAGTCTGGCTTGTATTGCCTTCCCGTGTCATCATCCCCCGAAAGTCCCCAGTGATGTCTTCACTGCCAAACCCAATGGCCTTTTCTCAATCCTCTTCCTCTCCGACCACACTGCAACTTTTGACACTGGGGATCATCCTTTTGTCTCCTCTTTTCGTAAGGGTTTTGTAACCCTGCTCTATCCTGGTTCTCCTCCTGATATAACTGCTCCTCCTCAGTCTCCTTTGCTGGACCTGCATCCAGGTCATGCCCACAAACCACAGGTGTCTTACAGAGCTCTATCCTGGGCCCTCTTCTCTTCTCTCTTTAGACTATTTCACTTGGTAACCTTATTTCCTTTTTGTTTAAAGTTATCAGACAAGTAAGTTAAGAGAATGTTGTCAAATACACCCATTTTAAGATGTACACGCAGACAAAACCATTCTGCAAAAATTTTCCTTAAGGCAAAAGTCGACATTAATGAAAATGCTATTCCAATTTATTTTAATACAGGAAATTATGGAGCTTTTATGGAGTGTCCAAAGGCCACCCTTTTCTCACTCCAAAATCTTACTGTATCCAATCCCCAAATAAATAAAGTAAGACACGAGTTATGAGCTAGAAGCCGGGTGCAGCCAGCCTCTTGGCCCTGTGAGCCCTCTTCTTAACCATGGCAGAAGCCAACCCCAGGAGGTGGCTCTGCCAGCTCCCATAGCAGCTGAGGATGGGTCTTTCAGGGGAGGGGGAATGGTGCCAGGCTGCAGCTACAACAGATCTGGGACGGGGATGGGATGGAATGGGATGGGTCTGAGTGGGCATGGTTGGGTAAATGACAGCACCAGTGCAACCTATCGTGGACATCAACACAGGGTTTCTCAGTCCCCAGGCCAGAACCTAGTGCAGAAAAGACATTCCAACAGATTTGAGCAGGGGTAAAAAGAGGGAAAGAAAAACTAGAAGAAGTACATTCAGTGGGTCTATTGTTCACCTATGCCAAGTACCCTTAATATCTACGTACTTCTCCCATGCCTGCTGCTATAAGCTAAGGAATTTGGTAAGAGGCAAATACCCTAATAAAACGGGGGAATAAAAGGACTTATTTGCAGATAACAAGAAGTTGGGAGGTCACAGTGTATGAAACTATACAAAAATATTTTTATAGGTTAAGACAGATGGGATGACCCTAACGTGACCAAATTTAAAAAAAAGAGAAATGTCAAGTCTTATATTGGGGGATCAAAAAACCAAATGGAGAACCAGGGGCTCTGTGGGAGTTTCAGTGGACCACCAGCTCACAAGGAGCTCATGACTGGAGCAGGTGCAATGTTGGGCTGCCTGCACTGTGAGGTTCAGGGCAGCGCTGTGTTCTCAGACCTGGTCGGACCGCTTCCGTGGACTCAACTTCAATTCTGGGGCCCCATTTTACAAAGGACAGGAGATCATGATGGTGAACCTGGAGATGCCTGGAAAAGAGTCCCATCTACAGAGCTGGAAATGGTTAGTCTTGAGAAAAGGAGCCTCAGGAGGAGTGATGGAAAGGAGGGTAAGGAAGGCAGGAGAGAGGAGGGCCTTAAAACACTGGAAGGGCCATGTGGGGGCAGAGGGACTGGACTGGGGGGGTGTTTGATAGACCAGAACAAGAAATAATGTGTGGAACAGACAGACATAAAACTTTGATTTAATGTAAAGACAAACTTCATGATGATGCCAGCTGTCCAAAAGTGGAATTAAGCAATTAAATCAACAAATATTTAATGATCTCTTATTATGTGTCAGGTACTGCACTAAGCACTGGAGATAGAAGTACAAAGAATGAAATCAACTGAACATTCTCATGGAGGAGACAAGTTCACAAATACATATGCACATGTACATATGTGTGTGTGTGTGTGTGTGTGTAGAGAGAGAGAGAGAGAGAGAGAGAGTGAGAGAGAGAGAGAGACAGAGACAGAGACAAAGAAAGATGCATATAGACAGCGTGTCTCCAGAATCTTGGGGCAGTTTTAAGCCTGGGCATCTCTTGGGATACTCTGTCCGATGGCATAAATACAAAGCTAATAAATACAAACCTATCCTGAATAGTGACACATCAGGGAGTCTGGGATGGGGGGTATGAGCAGAAGGGGGTTCAGGAAAAGTATCACCAAGTGGAGCTCCAGCTGCACAGTAAAGGAAGAGAGGGCCTCTCTGTGTCAAAGGTCAAGGTAAGCAGGGAGTCCACCCCAGACACGGAGCACGACCAGCACAAGAACTGGAGAGAGGAGTTGGAGGATTTATGCGGGAGAAACAGAGGTGAGGTTGGTCTGGCTGGCTGCAACACACAGGCCAGGGGAGAAATTGGCACCGAGGATGCAAAGAAAGGTTGAGGCCAAGAAAGGAAAGGCTTTAAAAGCTAAGCAAGAGCTTGGATTTTATTCCAGAGCAATGGAGAGACGGCACAAGCAGACTAGGAGAAGTCACACAGTCAGATCTACACTTAGGGAACATGATCTTGGCAGCAGTGGAAAGGACAGGCCAAAGAGAGGAGGGACTGGAGGCAGGGAAGCCCAGGAGAAGGCTGCTGACGAAGTCTGGGCAAAGGAGAATGGGAGCCTGAGTCAAGGTGTGAGGGAAGAGGATGAGCTCACCAGAGGCCGGGAGGATGCCTGCTGGCCAGGCTGCGGATGGGAGCCCAGGCCAGCCTGCCAGCTCAGAGGAACTGACTCTGAAAGTACTCCTCACGTAGAAAAAACAAAGTAAAACAACTGCACTTGAACAACTTCTTTCATACGACGTTGTGCTGCCTTAGAAGACTTTAAAATAATGACAATACCATGAACAGTCTCACCTACTTACTCCAAACGATCTTTTATTTATAGATTCAATCTATCTACTATGAACTGAAAAGGTTTGCTTTGACTCAGCTCACTAGCTCTGTTCTCTAAGGTTTTACAATGATTTAATTTTTAATGATTTCTTTTAGAATGAAGCAATAAAGAAGACCAATCTCAGTCAATTCCCTCTTGCTCATAACCGGCCTTTCCTTCGGGCCCTGCGCTGCATGGTGACAGCCTATCCTGAAGGGTGGTGAGGCAGGGTAGAGATTCACTTCCCACGTTGGTTCAGAATGCCAGTTAGCACGTGGCTGTTCTTTCTGAAGGACTCGTTTAGGGAACTAAACGTGGATGAAATCCTCTTTCATTCGTTCTACTGAATAACACCGAATAATAGTAGGATTATTTCTGACAAGTATAATCTGCCCTTTGCAAAATAGACAAATGCCAAAAAGATGGAAAATAACACCACCACAATAAAGATATGCTAATGAACTCAGTGTGGAAAACTGAATCTTGACATTTGGTCTTAATATATCTCATGAAAATGTACTTCAAAGTGAAAAACCTTTAGTCCTTTTATGTCAATTAACTGCCTGATTTCTCAAGCTTAAGCAAGAACCAATTAAGGTAAAAATAAAAAAACAAAAACAAAAACAAAAACCAAAACCCAACATTACCAGGACAACAGAGTTTTTAAAAAACATACAGTTAAGTACTTCATGGGGCTGTAAAATGCTCTTTATCTTAACGTACTGCACGTGGCAAAGTATTCAACAGGCTTTTAATGTCTCCAAAAAGACATGAAGCTTTCCTAAAAGAAGTGCCATTTCAAAATGAGACAATCACAACATCAGAAGTCTGCCCACTGGGGAGGTGATTCAGAATATGACAAAAGGTCACCCAGTGTAAGTGTGCAATGTCTTTAAAGTACAACTGCTGATGCTCTACGTAAACCGAAGGCTCAAAGGAACCAAACATTGAAGGAGGCAGGGAGAGAAAGAAAATACAGAGAAAAAAAAAAAGAATAAAAACCTGTGGTGCCGTGGCCAGGATGACAGTATTCTCAGCAGAGACCGGCAGGACAGGGACCACGGGGACAATGGGAGGAGAGGGAGGCGCAGCTTCTGTTGGCTAAAAATCATCAAGAACAAAGAGTCAGGAAGGAGAAGAGCCATGGAGCAAAGTGAATGGGCAGGCACAGCAGGTGTCACTCGCCCCCAGATGCAGCCCCAGCCCCCGAGGCAGGAGAAGCCCACAGCTGGCAGCTCTCACAGCAATGCCTGCAAGTTAGTCCTCGTGAGTAAACCAGCCAGAGCGAAGCCGAGGCCAGGAGACACCCGCCGTCCATCCCACCCCCATCCCTGGCCACCTCCCCCGCCACGCCTCCACATGCCTGACATGCAGGCCAAACTGGCCGGCCCACATGCTCCTGTCCAACTGGGCCCTCAGAGAATGCAAATTACCAAATGAGTGAAGTGTTAAAACATCCAAGGATCTCTAACTAGAAATTAGCTGGGGCTTCCCTGTAACACTGCTGGCCACTACAAGTAACAAATGACAAGTAAGCAGCCTACAATACACACACACACACGCACACACACACACACGCACATGCGCACACACGTACACACGCACACACATGCGCACACACACGCACACACGCACGCGCGCGTGCGCACACACACACACGCGCGCACACACACACACGTTTATTTTAACATTTCACATTAGATAATCCTCAATACAATCTTCATATAATAGTTTTCTTCCAAACCTTCAGATGTGATTCCAATACATTTGTACTAGCATTTAACTTCCCTGAAACATTTCATCAGATTCCATTTTTGAGTATCACTTGGGAAATCCAGTCCCACAGCCCCGTTTTTGGCCTCGAGTGATTTGGAACTCCCACGTCTTGTAGGACACGTCCAACTGAACGCTGCCACTTGAGTGACGGTGATTTCCTCGGGGCAGACACGCTTGCCCCTACCCCTGTGCGGCTCCTACACAGTGCTTAGGTGAAGGGCCTGGAAGGTGTACGTGCAGACACACGAAAGACCAAGTGAGGTGAAAGATGGGTAAAGCCAGTACTGGCCAGTGTGCCTAGGATGGAACATGTATCAGAGTAACCTAAAATGTCTAGACAGGTAAACCGAAGCCAGGAGTCACAAGGTCATAGCAATCTGGATGAAGAATGCTTTGGTCGTCACATGGAGGCTAAACCAGAGAAGTTAGCCACCCAGTGCCTGGCCCAGGGCAGCGACCATGAGGGTGGACTGCGACAAATGTCATCAACTAGATTCAGTAAGACTCGGAATGTGATGGCTCCAAGATTAGGAACCGGGGTGAATGGGGGGCTACAAGACAATTTCCGGGAAGGGCCAGGTTTGGGGAGAAAGACAGGAGTTCAATTTAGCCCTGGCAATGTTGAGGTGCCCATGGAATATCCAACTGGAAATATCAAACAGGGAGCTAACTGGTGAAATGGGACTGGAGCTCGGGAGGGGCCCAGAGGTGACAGCTGAAAATCTGGGAGCGAGAAAACTGAGAGAAAGCGTTGAGGGAAAAAGGGCTACAGAGGAAAGGAGAGAGAGATTGCTTTCTGCCTTTCTGAAGTCGGCACTCAAACCATAACGGGGCAGGACGTAGACAATGATCTTGCGAGGGAAACTGAGAAGGAAGAGTAGGGACAGAAGCAGATGACAGCAATTCCATGAAAACGAAGGGAAGGGAAACTGTCCAGGAGGATGGGCATGACCACAACCCACCCGACACTGCAAAGAGGTCAAGCAGGATGAGGACTACAAAAAGGTCGTGAGCGAGCAGGAGCAACTTCAGCAAACAGTGAGGTGGGGAGCCTCCACCCATTCACCCAAAGCATTTCTGTGCCACCCTGACAAACAACCAAAGGCAAGAGGAGGAAATCCCTGTAGAGTGCGAGGTCCTCCAAGCATTCCTGGGCATGGATGACAGATACAGACATTACTGGACCCAGGCCAGGCCAGACCAGGTCCTCCTCAATGGGAGACAGCGCCTGCCCACCACACACAAGGGTGCCGCTTTGTATGGCACAAAGGAAAACCGAAAGGAGCCAGACCTGTGTTGAGGACAAAGGGCAGACGGTGCTCAACCAGCTGACGCAGCCGTCACCACGACTGTCCCAATGAGGATCCTCTGGACACACACTGTGTGCAGGGGCTCGCGATCTGGGCTCCAAAGTGGCTAGGACAATGGCAGGCCCGGCCGAACAACTTGGGACGAGAAGAATCCCCGGCAAACAGGGAAGGCAAATCGTTTTGATAATGCATGGACTCAGGAGTCTGTCAAATCAAATCAAACCTGCTCTACATTTTTAAAAAAACCAGGGGTCATCCATCATCCGGTCAGAGACATAAAGTGGCTCCATGGTCCCCCATCATCCTTCTGCCTCTGGGGCCTCACAGAACACAGCTAATAATGCAGCCAAAGCTCCTTAACAAAGCTCCCTCCAGGATGCTTTTTTCCTAAGCTACAAATCCTTCCTTCCTTCCTTCAAATGGCTCCCAGAAGGCCTAGCTCAAGGCTGTTGCATTTGGCCTTTCCAAAATTTTCTTTGCTTACACAGATTTCATTTTCTGTAAGAAACACTTCTTGTCAAAGGTGGTGACTTTTGTAGTCAAGCACAAATTTTGATCTACTGGGCAACACGGCTTGGTGGTCAGAGAGGAAGTCTCTGAGCCAGGAAGCCCCAGGCCCAAGCTCTGTCTTGCACTTGTCAGAAGGAGTTTCCTCAAGGGAAGGTGCCTAAACCAATGAAATCACAGCTCGGTTTCCCGCTACAATCAAATCTGCTAGGAAATTAAAGAAAAGAAGCAGCAGTCTTTGGTAAAATGTAAAATTTTTAACTCATTTTAAACCAATAAAAGCAAAGCACATTTTTCTCATTTTCAGAATTCCAAATGACAAGGAACAATAGCAGTGATGGACACAACAGAGCTGTGATTATGGTTTCTAGGCCAATGAAAAGATATTGTACTTTTTATTACTTCTAAAATAAAGTCAAAATTGCATATGCTCTAAAATACTCAATTACAGTTTGAAATTTCAGTATCTATAATCAATGAGGTATCAAGTAAGCATTAGAAAAGCAGGTGACAAAGATGTGGCAAGATGGAACAGAAAGACAGCTGACCTGGGAGTCACAAAACTGGCCTTCGAAGCCTTGCCATGGCGGTGGTGGCGCTGGCATTGTCATCAGCAGCACTGACAAAGAGCGCATCCAAAGATTTTCTGGCTGGACCCTCACAACAACCCTGGTGGGGAGGTGCCATGACTGATCCCCATTTTACAACAAAGAATGTAAAGCAGACTAAGGTTCCATGACTTGCCCAGTCACACAGCTCGTGAGTGGTTGAGGCAGGATTTGAACTCAGGTCTTCCTAACTACAGGTCTGGTGTTCCATCCATTGTGCCACCTGATGGCCTTGGGCAAGTCCCTTAGTCTCTGCCTCGATTTCCTGGATTAGATCAGGGGGCTCTTTACGTTATCTGACAAAGCCTCTGGACCCTTTTTCAGAATAGTGTGTGCAAGGCAGAGAAGCCAATTACCCTGAAACACCAGCTGTCACTGGCATCAAGGCTGCCATGAATGGGGCACCTCCCTTGGGTAGAGCAAGGTGGAAGGCAGGCGCTGGAGAGCCCCTCCCAGGTCCTTAGAGAATTCTCTTCCTCATCTCCCACAGGCAGGGATTTCTCCATCTCCAGACACTCATCACTGGGCCATGTGACATCAGCTCCCTTCCTCAGATCCTTTCCCATTCTGGCTGCGAGCTGAATCTGGCCAGGTAATCTCCTCTCTCCCTCCGGCCCCCATGACTTTGAAGGCAAAGGCTGTCTTGTGCCTTTCTTTGTATTCCCAGTGCTTAGCAGAGTTCTTGGCACATAGTAGGTATGCAATAAATGTTTACTGACACTGACTCTAACTCTGGCACTGAGCCTGGAGTTGGAAAGACCTGAGTTCAAATCTGGCCTCAGATCCTTACTAGCTGTGTGACCTTGGGCAAGTCCCTTGACCTGTTTGCCTCAGTTTCCTCAACTGTAAAATGAAGATAATAATAGTATCTACCCTGCAAGGTTGTTGTGAGAATCAAATGAGACAATATCTGTAAAGAGTTGAGCATATAATAGGTGTTGTATAAACATTTATTCCCTGCCCTTTTTCCTTTTAAAAAAAAAAGTCCCAAAAGGCTCCCAGATCCCACAAAAGAGCTTTGTGACACTCTAAAATGCAATCTTATGATCCGATTTAGAAGATCTACTTTAAATCCATGCCTACCTCCATGGATTTCAGGTACTCTAGCTACATCAGCTGCTCAGACAACACAAGAGCCTTCTTACAGCAGAGCCCCACATCTCTGTGGCCACTGGTGAACACACACTCACTCCAACAATCTTTCCACCTGGCCTAAACAGAAGCAAAGCTTAGCACGTTGTGTCTTCTAACAGTATGTGTTAACACTCTATTGGCCACATCAAAGACGCAGCTGTCACACAAGGCTTTTTTATATAAGGCATCGATCTATTACTAATCAGCAGAAATGTCAACAGCAAACTACCTCATCGAATGCTCTAATAAGTTATCACTTGGCCTTCTCGCTGAGCCACACCGCCTGCGGTCCACACCTCTGCCCTTAGAGGCACAACACTTAGGAGTGATGGGCACAGGAAAGAGGTTGGAACAGACTGGATTCTAAGAAGCAGCTTCTAGAACATAACTGACAGTGCTATGAAATCCAAGGAAAAAGAGGAAGAAATAAACAGTGTGGTAAAAATATATCTATAATCTTGCTGAAGATTTTAGTTTTGCTGGATGCCAAACAGACTACAGAAGGAACTACATGACACTTGGGCATACGTTCTACCACGGGATTCAGCAGAAGGATTTTTATGCAGACAAATCCTGTCTTGACTCCTTCATTAATAAGCCAATAATGAATATCAACATCATCATACTTGTCCCACTCCAGCTGCATCTTTTAATAAAGCCATCTCCAAAGATAAAAATCTGGCCCATGTGACTATCCATGGTGACACCATGGAAACACTTCAAGCTGCCTTCAGAGACTTGCTTCCATGACAACGAAGCTTATAAT